AACCAGCAGCCAAACTGAGCCTCCTTGGCTGGAAGAAGTTTATCTCTCTGGATCAGGGGCTGCCAGATGCAAAGTGGGTGGGGGAAGAGGTCATTCCCAGACTTTTGAGTTGCTGGGAATATTTGTGGGCAGAGAGACCTGCAAGCGGGAATCTCTTTTATCTTCCTTTTGCAGGCTTCTATCTGATCTCTCCGTCAGAATTCGAACGCTTCTCCTTGAGCACTAGAAGCATCACCGAGCCACTGTGTGTGCTGGAGACAAGCCGCACCCACGACAGCCTTTCTCCGGGGTGAGGGAACCCGCCTGGCATCGCTGGGCCTCTCGGGGGGGGGGGGGGGGTTTGGTGCAGAAGGATCTCTGCCAAGGCAAAGCGCTGGCAAGGTTAAACCCCAAAGGTTGCACAGCCGGCTAGCTTGAAACCAGAGCCCCATTTCTCACTATTCACGAGCAGGCGGTACCCCCAAAACAGCTTTGCACTTAATAACTGAACTCAAAGAAACAGGGCTAGGAGATGGCTGGGCTTCGAAGTCAAGCTGTAACTGGATGCATTTTGTGTAAGATTGGGAAAAAACAACAACCCAGGTGGGATGGGGGCTTGATTTGCCATCTGTCTCACTTTGTGACGGCTGCAGTCCACACCCGGAAGGCAATTCTGCTGGATGTGGGGTGGGAGCCATCCAGGTTAGGACCACAAAACAGGGAGAGGTTTAAAGCCTGCCGCGCCCCACCTCACAGCTTCAAGCAGGGAAATGCACAAGGTCCAAAAAGCGGAATGGTGGCCGTGATGCGGGGATCGCAACCCCGCCCACTTTGTTAGGTGTGTCACATTGCGAGAAATGCATTCCATGGCGGCTCTTTCCTTCTTTTATTACAGAAATAACTTCACAGCAACACCAAAACTAAGCCAGGCCAACGGGACGCATGTTTTACAAGGATCAGAGGCTAATCATTCCCCTGCAAGCAACGATCGTAAGGAAAACACCTTTCCAGATATTTGGGCAGACTGGCAAGTCATCTGGTGTGAGACTTCCATGGCATTGGGGTCCAAGTTGTTTGCAGGAGTGTGTGTGAGTGTGTGTGTGTGTGTGTTTCAAAGCTGGTTCAGCCTTAGTTGGGCAGTCTGAAGTCTCTGCAAACTCTTGGTTTTGTCATAGCTTCCGATAAAATGAAATCTTGGCCTATTTATTTGTCTCAATGAAAGAATCTCTGTGGCTGAGGGCTGAACTGTGGAGTTCTTGGTACCCCCTAAAGCAGAGGTCCCCAAACTTGGCAACTTTAACACTTGTGGACTTCAACTCCCAGAATTCTCCAGTCAGCAGAGCTGGGAGTTGAAGTCCACAAGTCTTAAAGTTGCCAAGTTTTGGGGGGTCCCTGCCCTAAAGTTTGCTTGCAGATGTTTCATTCCCTGCCTGGCTGACCTTGAATGTTGGTCTGCCTCCCTGAGAAAAATGACTCTACAGTTTTGCATGTTTTGAAGATAATTTCAGGAAGCCTTGAAGGAAATTCCAGGACTCTCTTGATAAAATAAAAGGGGTTTGTTTTTCCTTCCCTTTGCCCCGGAAATATCCTTTAGTTTGCATTCATGGCATTCAGAAAGTTTTGAGGGAAGTTTTATAATGGATCCAATCCCAAAGATTGAAGCGTTTTAAAGACAGAGAAGGCTAAATTTGAATTCTGGATGTTTGTGGCAACATTGCAAAGTTCTGCTTTTCTACTTTCAGGGTCTCCTGAAGATCACCCAGCATTGTTTGCCTCAACGCCGGTTGACTCCCCCGACAGCAGCATCGACACCCCCTTAAATACCACGGGAGACATTACAGTCGAAGAAGTGAAGGATTACTTGGCGTAAGTCTCTGTCCTTGGGTGGCAACCTGGAGGTAAAAACATGCCTGCCATCTCTGCAGAGGACCAGCTAGTCTAGAGGCAACCTTTGCAGAGTTGGAAGGGACCTGTTCAGAGTATTGCAGCGTAAATCCAGCGCCAGAAAAGTAAACAAAGATGGCTGAGGCTTCATTTAACTTCTTTATAAACCTAAAGTAAATTTTACAATACCAGTTGTAGATTTCTCTCTGCTCTCTGCTCTTTCTCTCTCTCTGCTCTTCTCTGCACTCTTCCCAACATCTTTTTTATGCTGTGGAGACCAAAATGGGATGCAAGAGTCCAAGGGTAGTCTCTTACCAAGGTGGCTTCACGTGATCTTGATTAGTTCCCTCTGTTAATGCAACCTAGGCCTGCGCTGGCCTTGTCTGAATGCCCCTTGGAAATGGGCCGTTCTGCTCTGGCCCGTCCCGTCTTGATCCCCTTTCTCATTCCAGGCCCTCCGAGGAAGCTGGGAGGAACCTGCGGAACATCAGTGAGGAGGAGGCCAGATCTCCAGGGATCCTCATTCAATGAGGCAGGTCCAGGGAAAATGGCTCTTCCTTTTTAAAAACAAAACGAGGGAGGGGCTCCGCTCGTTCTCAGGACCGCCTGGGCAAGTTCTGAGGGAGGCCAAGAGGGCATTGGGGCAGCCCCGGCTGGGAGCCCAGGCTGCAGAAAAGAAAGGAACTCCCTCTGGCAGGTAGTCCTCGATTCACAACAGCTCATTTAGTGACCGTTGGAAGCAGAGGTTTCCAAACTTGGCCACATGAAGACTTGTGGATGTCAAGTCCCAGCTGCGCTGGCTGAGGAATTCTGGGAGTTGACGTCCACAAGTCTCAATGTGGCCAAGTTTGGGGACCCCGGTTTTACCGCGTCGCTGAAAAAAGGACCGTTTTTCACCCAACCGTCGCCGCCTCCCCCCTGGTCATGTGATCAACATTTGGGCGCTTGGCAACTGGCATGTACTGATGACGGTTGCCGTGTCCCAAGGTTCCCCTTGGGGACCTCCTGACGAGCGAAGTCGACGGGAAACCCCGACTCGCTTAGCAACCGTGTCACTTAGTGAAGAAGTGCAAGGGATTCGCTCGGCAACTGTGGCAAGAAAGATGGTAAAATGGGGCAGAACTCGCTCAAGGAATGTCTCGCTTAGCGATGGACGTTCGGGGCTCAGTCTGGTCATAAGTCGAGGGCAACCTGTATTGCCATGTGGAATGAGATAGGAAAAGAAATAAAAGGCGCAGTGTCTTTTTCCAGGGCAGCCGGGAAGGAAAGAGAAAAGATGGAGAGAGGGCTGGGTTTGGCGAGGGAGAGGGAGGGGAGGGGAGGAGAGGGAGGGGAGGGAGTGGGAGACAGAGAGGAGAAGGAGGAAGAGTGGGAGAGGGAGAGGGAGGGAGAGGGAGAGACTGTGTTCTGTCCAACCTGTCTTAAGGTGCGACCGCTTCCTTCGCAGGGACCCTGCGCCGTCCTACGCGATGCTTGGAGCTTCGGGGCCGAGACTTCTCGCTGCCTTTGCAAGGGGCTTCGGGTCCTCCCTCTCCAGAGGACCCCAGACTCTTCCCTGCCTCCTTTCTCTTTTCTTTTTTTACAAGGACAGAAAGAGCGGTGATCTTTTTCGGTGACCTTTTTCTAACTCTTGGCCCGGAAGCGGACAGGCGGCATCTCTTCCTGGGTACCTCTCTCTCCAAGTTTGCATTTTTGATAGATG